GTCGAATATAATTTTCAAAAAAAAAAAACATATTCGACAGCTATTAACTGTCGATTATATAGCTTTAATTGACAGCTAATGGATGTCGAATATAATATTCAAAAATTAAAAAATCTTTATCGTCAGTGATATTTTATCAATTATTTTTATCTTCGACAGTCAATATCTGTCGATTAAATTAGTATATTCGATAGAAAAGTTGGTTGTCGAATATACTCATTATTGACTGTATTTTATATGACATACTTGGCTGTTAATTATGTTTGTCGATTAAGATATAATCGACAGAAATACCTCTATATTCGATAGACTTTTTTGTCGAATATACCTTGTTTTCCAATAGTGTTGTCTTTGCTATCTCAATTAATGTTTCATGCATGACCAATTTTATATATATATCAGACAGGCTTAGACTTTCGCTAGCAAACTGCCCCACTTGATTACTCCTAAGTTTTTGTTATGAAATAAAAACTTTGACAACTAGTATTATTTTTATTTTTTTAAATTCTACCATGAATGTTTTACTATTAATTTTAATACAAACTTCGACAACGTACGAATCTTTAATAAATTTATGCTTCGTTTCATAGTACTTTCTATAACTTTTTTTTATAAAATACTTTATCCAAAAAAAGTAGATTTATTATTCTCAATTAATTTTATTTTTTTTTTATTTTTACAAATTTAAATTAATTTCTAAAATATTTTTAGAAAAATAGAAGACAAAAAGAATTTATAACTACAGTACAATAAAATACTTCTAAACGAAATTACCTTACTTTATTGTAATCTCCCCACTTCATTCACAATTTTGAAAAAAAAAAATAATTACTTCATTTATCTCAAAATAATTGTTATTTTAAAAAAAATTTCATAAAATTGAGTAAAAATTTGTGAACAATTTATATTTTTAATTACTTATACTACCTTTAAGAAAAAAACTAAAAGAGAAACTTTTATAATAAGTGAATAATTAAAATTAAGTGATAATAATAAAATTAAAGTAATAGGAAAATATATCTACCTTAAAAATAAAAAATGAAAATTAATTTAAAATAGATTATTTTATGTTAAAAATAACAATTATTATGAACAAAATGACAATTATTTTGGACAAAAGAAATACTATTAAAAGAGAAAGATTATTGGTCACTATGATCATCTTCTCTATTCCGAAGCTAGCTATATAGATATTCAATCCCTTTAGTTCATTATCAAGAGAAAAAGGAATAATAATTAAAGCAAATAAACATGCAAATTGATGTGTTAACGATTTCAATAATTCATTGATAGTTTATTTTTTTTTGTAAAAATTAAAGATCTTAAATTTGAATTATATAGTATGTGAGTTGAGTGGGGTTAAAGGACAAAAAAAAAAT